TTTCCCAGAGTTTATTCTGTGCTATTATTCTATTATTTTTATATTTCTAAATATGGATTGGCCTCCACACAAAGTGAAAGTCAGATGGATGTGGACATGTGTGTGGATTCAGGTCCAAACTCAAAATTGGATGTAAAGTACAGGGAATACTGGTGTTAATAGCCTAAAAATAAAATAATAGTTTTAGAAAAATCTTGATGTTTAGCACTCCTTTCTGCAGCCCCTAGAAAACCTGTATTCTACCCCACATGAAATTCATCAGAATATTTTGAAGGTGCTCCCCCCAGCCACAAGGAGCGTAGGTGTGTTTTAAGCAAGATAATCCCATTTGTCAGGTAGCAGATTTACATATACAGGTGGGTAGTTAAAAAAAAAAAAAAAAACAGGTTTTAAGATGTACAGTGAGACTAGATTGAAATTGCATCCTGCATCCTGCAGACAGCTCTTGAGAATGGGAATAAGCTGTTTACCTGATGAGTCCACACTGTTTTTATTTGTTGTTTTGGGGGGGATCAAGCCTCAACGGATTGAGCAGGTGCTGGGACCGCACGGAGCCACCTCCATAGCCCAGCGCTCCTCCAGCTGCCGTTCCCCATGTCCTGACCCCGGCAGCTCACCGCTCAGCACCTTCCTCGGGCCCTTCTCATGATCTCCAGTGACACCAGCTCCAAATGGTGTACCAAATGGATATTGCTTAACTTCTTTAGTGGAAGTTGTGCAACCTAAATATGGCCTTATATTTTCATCCCTGCGTGGTTAATTGCTGACCTTTAGCCTTTTTGGCAGCTATGAAGAGTGCATCACTAATAGGAACCAGTCGCAACAAAGAATATTCCTCTGTTGCATCACAGATCACACACTACTGAATCACATTTGCAAGAGGGAGTAGGGGAATGTGGTATTTTGTTTAGGAACATCACTGTACAGTGGTATAACTGGTAAATTTATATTGTTTCTATTGTTACTTTAATAACAGTCATTTTTCAGAGTCCACAGGTGGGTGATTAATCATAGCACATGAGAAGATTAAGGAAGATTCAATTCTTCACTTGCATATATCTCCTGGACTTCACTAGAATTGTGTTCATCTGAGCCTGTACTTAATTTGGTGTTTGTTATGTAACAAATCTGCTATTAGCAGTAGAGACTTTCATTTTTTATTACTAAATTTATTTCTCTGCTTGTTTAGGTTAATCTGTCCTGTTGTGTCTTTTTTGACAAGGTTGGTTTTAATCTCATCTTAAGAGAGAACTATTTCAGTGTTGAGTTGCAAAAATCTCTTTAGTGTAATTATCTTGACATCGAAGAAACTTCTTTTGTGTCACCAGTAAAACCAAAGATTAAATACTTGCTTTATTTACTATGCTATTTATTGCATTATTACTATTAAGGCTGAACAAATCAAGAGAGTAATGTCTGAATTTCTAAACAGTAGCTTTGGAAATGTGTTGACTGTAATTAACATGATTATAATTTTGCAGTAGCATTTTGTGTAAGGCGTGATTTGTATTCTGTTAATGAAACTAGAAATAGATGCTTGAATCTAGGATTATACAAATTACTTCCTTCTGAGAACATTAAACTCTTAATTACTTCCAAGAATAAGAATTTTAATTTTAGCATTCAAAACCTAAAAATAATCATATCAAAAAGGTAATAGATTTAATATATAGTAGCTCCTTCTTTATTATATGATTCAGTAGAAGACTAGACTTCGGAAGCGATGCTTATTCCTGTACAGATAGAGCAGTGCACTCTCTTTAAAAACAGTCCTGGCAAAACCAATCCAAAATAGTTTTCCATAGGAAAACCATTCTTGCTGGTTCATCAGGCAGTTTGTTTCTCATGAAATCACCAGCAGATAAAAGAACTGTTATGCTGCAGCTTTGGTTCAGTGCAGGATTAAGGGCACATCAGTAATGGTGCTTCCTGTGTGGCTGCATCCTAAGCCACCTACAGCAGAGCTCACTATAAAAGATAATATTTTCGTTTAAGGTATTTTTAAAAAGGTATTGTTTTACCAAACAGAATCTCTAACCTGCTCCACAATCAATCCAGCATGGCGATCTTTCTTTTGATAACAATCATGACGTACTTTCAGTGGATGTCTTAATTTTCCTGGCAAAGCATGTGATTAAATGTTACCTTAAAATGTTAATGCAGAGAGTGAACACATGGCAGGGATTTCTCTGTGTGTGGGGGGGAAAGGCAGCTCCAGATGAAAGTTACGTCGTTGAGATTTGAACGTTAGACTTGATACGTGTCTAGTATCATGTATGAGGATTATATTTAGGCTTATGGAGCAATGAAAGTCACTGTAGAGACTGATGGATTATATTCATAGGGCAAATAAACGGCGTGAGATGGGTTTCCTAAAACCAGTA